AAAAAAAAAAACATATGATTTTCAAAGGGATGCTCATAAGGTCTCCCAATAAAGAAAAGGAAAGTGTTTAATAATATCCAAAATAGAAGGTTATGGGGCACATAATGCAACCCATTCTTATTATAACAACATTTTATCCCTTTTTTTTTTTTTTTTAGTGTTTCTTCCACTTTCTCTTCACAATTTTTTGTTCAATAAATATATTATCTCAAACTTCTTATATCCTTTCTCCACAAAGTACACACAAACAGGCCCCTACTTGCTAACACCAAACACCCAAATATTCTTGGGTGTATAGGACTGCCTTCACATGTGTATGCACCAAATATTCTTCCCTACCTTTCTTTTTTCGGATCAAAAGCTTACGTTCATTGAATTTTAGATGAGCTACTATTCATGTTTGTCAAAATCGATCATCAAAGACTGTTACGTTGTACCTTCGATCTCTTTTTGAAGTAGTACCGGATATTTCATAGTTTTGAACATGATCTCGAGACTTTTAACGGTCTAGTTCTTCATTATTTTGATGATTGATAACCACCGCAAATGTTATTCTATCCAAAATAGAGTGATTCTTAGTGCATAATACTTCCCCCGAAGAAAAAGAATCAGCTACTTTTCTAAAGAACTTCCAAACAGTTTAAATCTACTCTCTACCTTTGTTTTGAGACGATGAGTTTGAAAGAGAAGTGTACTAACACGAAAAACTGCTCAAGTTCACTGTTAGTAGATATTGTCCTCTTTGAATTTTTGTCCTCTTTGAATTTTTCCTTCTAGGCTTTCCCTCAAGGTTTTAAAACCTGTCTACTATGGAGAGGGTCTAGCCCTACACCAACCAATGTCTCACACCGTCCGGTAACCTGACTCTAATACCATTTGTAATAGCATAAGTCTACTGCTATCAGATATTGTTTGCTTTGATTCGTTACGTATCACTATCAGCCTCACAGTTTCAAAACGCGTATGTTAGGGAGAGGTTTCCACGCGCTTATAAAGAATGATTTATTCTCCAGGTTACAAGGATGTGAAAACCTCTCCCTAACAGACACGTTTTAAAACTGTGAGGCTGACAACGATACATAACGGACCAAAACGAACAATATCTCCTAACGGTCGTTCTCTCTTCAACAACTCAACCACTCTCATGGGCCAGTCTTCAACTTTCAAACAAAGGAATAATAATAATAACAAAGAGAATATTGGGGCAAGTGATACTGAAATTAGAATCAATGCTATCCAATCAAACAATGGAATCAATTTTATAATCTTGATATTAACATACCCTCAAAATTCTTTATCTAAGCCTCTTCCTCCTCCTCCTCTTTTCAATCCCTTCCTTTTCTTGGGCCACTACCCTCCTTATGCAGATCACATGTCTATGGCCCCACCCCTTCCCAATCTTCTCTCTCTCTCTCTTACCCTCCATTAGAAGTTTGATGATGAAGCCACATACCTTTTAAGTCCACAAAAAAGCTAAGGAATCATCACATGCAGTAAATTGAGCTTTCTTTGCTGCTGCTGCTGCTGCTCTGCCCTCATTCCATCTACATATATCTTTCATCTTTCCTTTTCAGACACTTCTTCTTCAGCACCTAGAAAGGAAAAAAAACAACTTTTAGTCCCTGAATCAAAGAGAAACATACATCAAAATCTAGATGCAGTTCAATACAATTGAGAGAATAACAAAATATTGACCATCACTGTTTGAATAACCTTTTGAAATTTGTAATCAAGAACACAGTGAATGAAGAGATTTAAGAACAGACGTACAAGAATCGACGGTCTCTACGTTCGATTTTTATTTCCCCTTTGAAATATGTTTATTTGTCTACCTTCAACATAGCTATCGTGCTTATTCTATTTACTTTTTCTAAGAACTACTAATGAGCTAGTTCACGTGCATATGTATTGAGTCTTTGACCTTACAAAGATCGGCATCGAGAGCCCCTTACGATGGTTTCGACCAAAATTTGTAGTAAGTAATCTAGATTGTGCTTACCCTTTTAAGCTTTTGATGGTTTGATCTCATATCTATACCATAACGATAAAAATCGACAAACGAACATATACAAAGCTAAATATGAACATGTAAGAAATTCATGAAAATTATATAGAAAGAACTATATAGCTCGTTGGTAAGAGCTGTCAAAGCACAATCTATACTCTTCTGAAGAAAAAATGAAGTGGGTCCAAGATATCTGACTCCTCAGACACTCAGCTTGAAGAAGCATGAAACAGAGTAGGGGCCAGCCCGCCATTCACTCTGCAATAGAGAAATTGAATTCAAACTGTACCATATATGAACAGCAGACAAAAAGTGAAAATTCAGCCAATTACAGTGGTTTTGCAGCCGCATTCAGTGTGTAAAGAAGACAAACAGTGAATTTTGACAAGATTGGAATAAGGAGAAACATAAAATCTTTGCTTCATGCAGTAAAAACACCACTCTGCACCTTCCTCAATTAATGGTCAAGGTGATTTTTGTTTTCTTTCACTAAAATTTGGTTGAGAACTGTTCTTCAGAAAGTGTCAATCGAGAAAAGGAAAAGGAAAAGGAAAAGGAAATATTTATGTTTTTGCTTTTGCTTTTGGGCAGTTTTTTTTATCTCCTCTGTTTTTTTTTTTAACCTCAAAAAGGTGAACCAAAAGAACTACTGGTAGCTAGCTCGCCCAATGCCACCAACTATATGTTTGACTATGCTGCCCAAGAACTTCTTTAAATTCTCTTTCATTCCACTTCCTTCCTTAGGCTTTTCTGCACCTCTCCTTTTGCTCTCTCTCTCTCTCTCGCTCTCTCTCTCTTATTCTTTCTATCACTCTTTCTTTCTCTCCTTAAGGAAAGATGGGGTCGCCACCTTCTGGCTTCATCAAACAAAGCATTATTTTCCTCAAGTTATACATAATTCTATACATTAGTTGCATACCTGACAGCACCAACCACCTTTTTGCAGCCCCAACAATTCCTCCTCATTTTGGTTCCTCTGATATATCCTCTTATGAACTGCAAACACTGGAATTGGATGGATACCTCAGCTTTGACAATAATCATAAAGCAGCAACAGATTTTGGAAACAGATACAATTTATACCCATTAGCTGTTTTACATCCAAAATCTGTGTCCGATATTTCGAACACGATAAACCATATTTTCAGTATGGGATATGCGTCCGACTTGACGGTTGCAGCTAGAGGCCATGGACATTCCATCCAAGGTCAAGCTCAAGCATATAATGGTGTAGTTATCAATATGGAATCATTTCAGGGGCTAGAAATGAAAATAAATGCAGGGGAATTACCTTATGTGGACGTTTCAGCTGGAGAGCTGTGGATAAATATCCTGCATGAAACTCTTAAACAAGGGCTGGCACCAAAATCCTGGACAGATTACCTGCATCTTACTGTTGGAGGCACCTTGTCAAATGCTGGCATTAGTGGGCAGGCCTTCCGGCATGGACCCCAAATCAGCAACGTTTATCAGCTCGAAGTTGTCACAGGTAACTTTCATGTAACATCGCTAGTCATTTCACAAAGAAACAACTATTTCTTTCCTGGTAATGTTCTAGTTTTTTCAACTCATTGATCTTAATAAAATGTTTTAAGAGTATTGCTTCAACTAAACGCATTGCAGGAAAAGGGGAGGTGGTTGCCTGTTCAGAGAATCAAAATGCAGACCTTTTCCATGCAGTTCTTGGCGGGCTTGGACAGTTTGGCATCATAACAAGGGCAAGGATTTCCTTGGAAAAGGCACCAAAAATGGTAAGGCCATATTCCATCTATTTCATTAAAGCGAGGTACACAAATTATGAAACACAATCCATCACTTTTGACAGGTAAAATGGATAAGAGTACTTTACTCAGACTTCTCCAAATTTACAAGAGACCAAGAACATCTAATATCATCCAATGATCAATTTGATTATATTGAAGGATTTGTATTCATTAATAGAACTGGTCTCCTCAATAACTGGAGATCTTCTTTTAATCCCCAAGAACCACTGCAAGCCAGCAAATTCAATTCAGATGGAAAAGTTTTCTACTGCTTGGAAATAGCAAAGTACTTCAACCCAGATGAACTTGACTTTATAAACAAGGTGAGGAGTTTTGCCATCTAAAAACAAAAACAGCCCCATAAAACACTGCTTGCTAACTTATTTCTCTTCTAATGCAGAAAGTTGAAAGCTTATTGACAGGATTGAGCTATATTCCATCCACCCTCTTCACATCAGAAGTTACTTACCTGGCTTTCCTGGACCGTGTCCACGTCTCCGAAAACAAGCTACGAGCTAAAGGCTTATGGGAAATTCCTCATCCATGGCTAAATCTACTGATCCCTAGAACCCAAATACACGATTTTGCTCAAGAGGTCTTTGGTAACATCCTCAAGGATACTAGCAATGGCCCCATCATAATCTACCCAGTTAACAAATCCAAGTAATTGCCTCATAACTTATTCATATATGAAAACTTTGTTTTTATCATGTTCTCAGTCTCATTCTTCATTACTTTTCATTGGTTCAGATGGAACAACAAAACATCATTGGTCACTCCAGAAGAGGAAGTGTTCTACTTAGTGGCTTTCTTATCTTCTGCAGTTCCATCTTCCATAGGAACAGATGGGTTAGAACACATTTTAGCACAAAATCAAAGAATTTTGGATTACTGTATTGAGTACCTCCCTGGTGTCAAGCAATACCTCCCCCACTACAGCTCCCAAGGAGAATGGAGAGCTCACTTTGGGCCTAAGTGGCAGACTGTCTTGCAGAGGAAATCAAAGTATGATCCTTTGGCAATTCTTGCTCCTGGCCAGAGGATATTCCAAAAGGGGATTTCCTTCTTATGACAGTCCTATCTGAATAAGCAACTCATAACAAGTTCCTTGAAAAACTGTAAATTAATGAGAAACCACATTATGTTGCTAGGGATCTCATCAATTATCAGAAAAATAGAACAAACAAACACCCTAATATCATGTGGAATCAGAAACTTTAAGCCAATGCCCTGTTGCTTGTCCCCAATAATAAATGGGACAGTCCTGTTCTACCCATTTCTTATGCATTCATCTGTATATATACATATGCAATGAAGCTGATTTTCTTAAAAAAAAAAAAAAAAAAAAAAAAAA